GCACCTCGACTGGTGAGAACCAAAATGGTTATGAACAATGTTGTTTGTAAGCAGGCCGCACGTGGAACATCACTTCTTCTTTTTTATTTGTTAAAAAAAACACATTTTAAGAGGGGGACGTATAAGGATAAAGAAAATATAAGAGAGACAAAAGGGTGACAGTGTAAAACAATAGTGCTTTTGTTGGTATCAGTTTGGTGAAGGATTGTTGAGTTGTTAAAGTGATGGCCGAGCCATCACTTTAACAACTCAACAATCAATTATAAGTCAGTCGTTCACTTTCTGAGCGACTGTTCGGTTCAACTCTCTGTCTTCGGACGGAAAGGAACCCGAAGGAGCTACGCCGAAGGGCGGAGTCTCCTTCGGGGAAAAAAAATTGGCCCTGAGCCCGTTTATACGGGTTCAAACGGACATATTTTGGGGCCGACCCCACGGGCTCGAGAAACCCACAATAAACAACCGACCTTGTGTCACATGTTGCCCCGGGGGCGGGGGGCGGAGACTCAACATCGTGATGGCTCGGCCCGAAAAAAAAATTTTAATCGACAACAACAGTCAAGGGTATGGCACAGCATTTCCAAGCCTCCTAAGATTGGGTGGGGGGAGATGAGGAAAGGTGAGAACAGGCGAGAGTAAAACGATGAAAGCGGAGTAGGGATAAGTTAAAACGATGGTTATAGTTATAATTGTAAATATTTTTGGTAATTTTAAAACGAAACCAGAGCTGAATAGCGTATATTTAGCCTGAAATTATTGCTACTAGTTTTGTAATCGATGAATGTATTTTGTAAATTAATAAATTAAGAGGTGGATGTTTTTTCTTGGTATTCTTGGTATGTTATATACTGTTATGAGATCTTACCCATAATAACATAATGGACTATCCCATACGTAATAAATACTGCGCCTCAAGAGGAAGCAGGGAGTTCAGTCCGTAGTCTGGAGTGAGGTCCGTCAGGAGTCTGTCAGTCAGTCAGAGCGAGCGAGTCAGTCAGTCGAGTCAGAGGCAGTCCGAAACAGAGTCGCGTTCAGACAATTACTACTAAACCTGATTGTTCGTACTAACACTTTCTACTTCTCTGTATATATTCCTGTTTGTAATATATCTGTGTTATTCCATGTCCGTATTCGAGTTCTTCTTTATTGGTTCTACCTTGGACTATCACCGTGGTACAAGGACCATAACATATACATAAGTTATGTGTTTGCTTTTTTTTAGTTCAGAATTTAAGATATAAGTAGAAAGGTATATAAAAGTATGAGATATTAATATAACTTTTATAAGCAAATTTTGACCTGTTGTCGGACTGTATAACTTATAGAATAAGTATAGATGTAAATCAATTCATCTGATACTATTACTAGTATTACATATGTGCAAAAGAACATTTTAAGAAGATAGATTAGTAGAAAGGTATATAAGAGGGTAGAAAATATATCAAAGGAGGTGAGTTATAATTTTAAAGGTTTAGGGTTATGGGTTTAGAAATTTAGCAAGATTGTAATGTTAGATTTTTAATATGCCTACAAAAAACAGTGGTTTCAACTCTTTGATTTAATAATTGGCTGTTGTTCAAAAGTTTAATAATACATATTTTTTCTTGCAAACATAAAAACAAGGTTATATTTTGTCGTTTAAATAATCTATACAAATAAAATATTTATCTGCATTCAGACGAAATTAATTCCCGAGCAAAAGGATTCATTTAATTCATCCTTTCCTTTACTCTTAAGTAAATCAACATAAGTTAGTAAATTTATTCAGTCGTTTAAATAATTTATACACATAAAATATTTATGTTCAAAAAATCCATTTAATTCATCTGTTCCTTCACACTTACATTTCTTAGATTGCAATCTTATTTGTTCAATCCTTTCATGTAAGGTACGCCGATACCTTCGTCTATTAAGTGATCGTCTTGCTTCAATTGGTCTTGAAATAAGATTTGTCGTTGCCGTTTTTGTTGTTCTGTTGCTAATCTCTTTTTCCAAGAGATATTTCCATTTCACTGTTATATTCAACTCATAAAATTTTTAACATGAAAAGAGATTAAGCAAAAAATGATTTATATAATACGAGGATTAATTAATGAATCCTAGATACAATTGAACGACTAAAACTATAAATGGAACAGATTAATGAAACTAGAGTTTCCCTAGCAGGAACTGTTGGGTGGGTGATGAGCATCTAAAAAGAAAATAGTGGTGACCTGGAAATTTTGGTGGTGGCCGAGATTGGATTTTTCAGTATTAAAACGGTATTGCAACATATGCTACCCGAAAAATATATTCAGAAGAAATATGCAAAGAATCTGCATTAAAAAAATAGGGGCTAAATGAGAATAATTGGGTGACATTCTTAAATAAGATAAAAATGTCTTTGGTATAAGAATGGCAATTGGAAAAAAATCTTAGTTTTTGCCGACACACAACGTCTTACAACTTTATCAAGCAAAAATTGAAGCGAAAAAACCTCGTAGTATTAAGCAAGTTAACATTAGTCAGAAAGAGGCTTACGCAAAAGCTTCTCTCTCTCTCTCTTTAAATTTTAGATTTAATGTAACTATGATAAAAAACAAAACATTTCGCTTAAATTGTGACTTGATAAAGTCGGAAAACGAAACGAGTCGGCAAAAACTAAAAATTTTCCCTATTATCATTCTTATACCAATTTGTCTTATCCATAGAATTGTTCTGGGAATTTTAAAATAAATGTCTGTCTATATCTCTGAGATGAAGTATTATCATTATTTACATTATTTACATTATTCGGACTGTTATCCTCATCATCATTGCCATATTCACAACGTTTCAGTCTCTATATCTCTGAGATGAGGTATTATTTACATTATTCGGACTGTTATCCTCATTTTCATAGCCAGATTTACAACGTTTCAATCGGAGGACGAAATAAAGGGTTTGATTTGAAATTCCAATCAACTGAAGAAGGCAGGAGCGAACAACGCCCGAAACGTTCTGAATATGGCAATTAAGATATAAATGATATATAACTAACCCATATAGCTTTGAGAATGGTCATTAACATTCAAGTATATCTTCAGACGAAATAACATTTCTTGGATATAAATCAGATAAGGGAAAACCAAGAACAAATTTATCAATAAAATAAAGAAGGAACCTCAGAATATTTTTTAAGTTTAATTTACTTTATTCATCACATTGGCCATCTTGAATTTACCAAGGCGGAAAAGTGCCATTTAAAAAATAATTTACTCATCATTTTATGTTTACTATATAAGTAGGCTGTAGTCAATTTTTCCATGGACGATGACGCAAAAGAAATTTTGGAATTCTGAATTAAACGGTTTATTGGCCTCCATTTTAGTTGTGAATTCTTTATATCCGTTTTTTCAAGACATTTCTTTCATTATATCTCACTATTAAAACTTCCTAACAATTGCTGGCATCGTTGATGACATGAGTACACTATATATATATATATATATATATATATATATATATATATAATAAAAAAGCTTAAACACTAATATTCCATGGTCATAATTTATTCCATTGGAATCGTAAATACGATCCAATTCATCAAACCTACAAATTCAAAAAGAAAACAGAAAAAACAACTCCGGGAATAAAAAAAAACGATTTATATATTTTAGATATATGATTGCATATGTATGTGTATATTTACCACATTATAAATATATATATATATATATATATATATATATATATATATATATATATATATATATATATATATATATATATATGCATGCACGTTTCATTGAATACGACAGACAGGGTGCTTGATTTAGTTTTTTATACAATTTCTTATGTGATCTTATAATTTTTTTTCTTTTCGTGGATAAATTATATAAAAACAGTACACGAAGACTGACACTACACCTTTCTGGCTATAGCTCAATTAGATGCTATTTAAATACTCATGGAGACCTACTGGATCCTATTCATAACATAATTGTTGACAACACTAATATAATAGCATCATCTACATGTAAAAAAAAAAAGGCTAAAAATAATGGAAGACTTATTAATAAAAACAAAAAACCCAACACTCAGTAATATCATCTATGAACATGGACATAATATCTTGACCGTGTTTTAAAAAGGAAAACATATGAATACATACATAGGACAATTTATTTCTTCTTAACAGTTAATATATTTGAAAATGGCTAAATGTACAGCCGAAAGAGTTCGGATAAAATGAACAATTGGACAGATTTTTTTTTCTGCGAAAACAAAAAATATAGGATGACATGAGAAATTGTATAAAAACTAAATCAAAGCACCTTGTCTGTCGTATTCAGTGAAACGTGCATGAAAAATGATTGCTGCCTAAATAAACGCACACACAGACACATATATATAACAAGGTAAAAAAAAGTGAAAAGAATCAATGGAGTGTGATTCCACTGTACGTAACATTGAATTTAAATGGGGGTTCAATACGTAGTAGAGCTAAATATTATTTATTTTAGGATATTAAAACACGTTAAAAATCGCTGCACAATTACAATTATTCTTCAACACCATAAATGTGTCTCTTTAGGCGATGTAAAACTACTGGCGAGTGAAAGATTAATTTGATTTCAAAAAGCAGAATATTTCTAAAAGTCTATTATTTGCGCGTAAATCCAACCCGACTGAAATTGGAACTCGGCTCTCCAATTTTAAATTTCAAAGTGCGTTAAACAGTACACTACACACATATCAGCACATGATATTTCAAGGCGATCACCCATCTAAGCATTGATCACCTTCGATATTGCTTAACTTTGGTGATCGAACAAGAGCCAGTATTTTAACATGATATTGCCGAAAGTCAACTGTAATAAAGATAAACCCTCAAACATGGTCACATGGCAAGGTCTTTAAGTAGACGTGTAACTAACCATTTGCGTGATATTAGTTCGCTAATGAAGCACTTCACTAACACGTGACCTCTCCCGTAAAAATAAAAAAATATATTGTCCGTCCTCAGGCATCTTCAAAAGAAAATGCAGGGAGGAGAAAAAAGGACCGCACGTAAGGTTTGTGACCTTGATGAAAGCGTTGGACACAGTGAGCGGAAAGGGAATGCGAATGATGATGAACGCCTGGACTGCCCACAACGTTCCTCAGCAGGGTCATCCAAATGCACAAAACCAGCGCGGGCAAGTAAGGTTGAACAGCGACATATAGGGACCCTTCTCCATCATCAGTGGCGTGAAAAATGTTGTGTTCTGGCATAGACATCTAACTGCACAAAACCAGCGCGGGCAAGTCAGGTTGAACAGCGACATATCGGGACCTATCTCTATCGTCAATGGCGTGAAAAAAATGTTGTGTTCTGGCATGGTCAACGAACTGCACAAAACCAGCGCGGGCAAGTCAGTTTGAACAGCGACATATCGCGACCTATCTCTATCGTCAATGGCGTGAAAAAAATGTTGTGTTCTGGCATAGGCATCCAACTGCATAAAACCAGCGCGGGCAAGTCAGGTTGAACAGCGACATATCGGGACCCTTCTCCATCGTCAATGGCGTGAAAAAAATGTTGTGTTCTGGCATGGTCATCCAAGTACAAAAAGTCAGTTTGAACAGCGACATATCAGGACCTATCTCTATCGTCAATGGCGTGAAAAAATGTTGTGTTCTGGCAAGGCATCCAACTGCATAAAACCAGCGCGGGCAAGTCAGGTTGAACAGCGACATATCGGGACCCTTCTCCATCGTCAATGGCGTGAAAAAAATGTTGTGTTCTGGCATGGTCATCCAACTGTACAAAACCAGTTCGGGCAAGTCAGGTTGAACAGCGACATAACAGGATTTTTTTCCATCGTCAATGGCGTGAAAAAATGTTGTGTTCTGGCATGGTCATCCAACTGTACAAAACCAGTTCGGGCAAGTCAGGTTGAACAGCGACATATCGGGACCCTTCTCCATCGTCAATGGCGTGAAAAAAATGTTGTGTTCTGGTGTTCATCCAACTGTACAAAACCAGTTCGGGCAAGTCAGGTAACCCTTCTCCATCGTCAATGGCGTGAAAAAATGTTGTGTTCTGGCATGGTCAACGAACTGCACAAAACCAGCGGTCAGTTTGAACAGCGACATATCGCGACCTATCTCTATCGTCAATGGCGTGAAAAAAAATGTTGTGTTCTGGCATAGGCATCCAACTGCATAAAACCAGCGCATAAAACAAAGGTTGAACAGCGACATATCGGGGACCCTTCTCCATCGTCAATGGCGTGAAAAAAATGTTGTGTTCTGGCATGGTCATCCAACTGTACAAAACCAGTTCGGGCAAGTCAGGTTGAACAGCGACATATCGGGACCCTTCTCCATCGTCAATGGCGTGAAAAAAGGTTGTTTTCTGGCATGGTCATCTAACTGCACAAAACCAGTTCGGGCAAGTCAGGTTGAACGATGTTGTGTACATCCGCTAACGCCTTGACGGCAGTTTTTTTAACCCCAGGAGATTATAGGCCTGCAGAAAGCCACTTGAGCCGCTGTTGCGTGACCTCCTCTCCGCCGACGGCGTTGCCCTTGTCATCCCCACCGAAATAGCCCTGCAGCGCCTAACATCCTGCTTTACAGAGGCTACCCGGCTCTTCGGACTCGAGGTCAGGTTGAAGAAGATGGAGGTCCTCCACCAACCTGCAACCCGAGATGAGTACCGCCCTCCCTACATCACCATCGGCGAGACTGAGCTGGAAGCAATTCACCAGTACACTTACCTGGGGTGTACCATCACATCGGATGCCAAGATCGACAGGAAAGTAGACAACAGACTGGCCAAGGCAAAACGGTGCTTTCGGCAGATTCTGCAAATGAGTTTGGAACACCAAGCATCTGAAGAATGCTAAAACAATAAACTGTGTTCTTGTCGCAATTAAAAATTTATCTTTGACAACCGTCGAAAAACTGATACAAAAATTTGTATATATATATATATATATATATATATATATATATATGGCTCAAACACTAATATTCCATGGTTATAATTTCTTACACTGGAATCGTAATCATGATACAATTCATCAAACCTACAAATTAAAAATTACCATTCCAATGTAATAAATTATAACCATGGAATATTAGTGCTTGAGTCTTTTATATTATATTCTTACTCTGTCCTGAACATTGAGTTCTACCTGGATTCTATCCTCTTGGGAAATATTATTGGTCCTGATCTGGCGGCTCGGCGTCAGTCACTTTCCCACCGCCGAAAGGTTGCCCCTTCCTGTGTCTTTTCTATAAATAAGTTCTTGGTAATTGTCTGGGAGAGCTCTTCGCTATGGCATCGAGACTGTTTGAATTTGGCATGAAGATCTCATCGGCTTACAGCTGAGCTGGCTAGATATAGCCGTAACTTCTATGCTAACAGTTTCTTCTCTCGCACCTCTCGCTTGTGGAACTCCCTTCCAGCTCCATGCTTTCCAGCCAACTTTTGACTGAAATGTCAATCGCTATCTACTGTCCTCCTGATTACTCTTTTCTCTTCCTGCTTGTTATTAAGGTTTCTGTTCCTAATTCTACCACACCCAGTTTCCCCTTAGTTGCTTTACTGCCTTTTTTGCCGTGATAACGATTATATATATATATATATATATATATATATATATGTGTGTGTGTGTGTGTGTGTGTTAAGAAAATTAATAAGCAAGTGGGCAAAAATTTTCAGGTGACGCGCTTCGTCCTTTAGGGCTTCATTAGACTAAAGTGATGTTGATTTTGATGGAACTATACGTGCGCACGAAGCCAACACTCAATAATATCACCTATGAATACGGCCACAGTGCGCTGACCGTGTTTGGATAATAAAACATTCCTATAACTCTAGATACATATATAAAACAATGTATATATTCAGTCAAAAGTAAAATAAAATGCATTCGTGATAATGGCTAAAATGTATAGCCGAATGGGCTTGGAAAACACGGACAATTTTAATGTAATTTATGCCATGAGAAAGAAAATATCCGAACACATGAGAAAATCTTTGCAAAAGTCAAGCACGACACTTTGTCAGTCGGTTTCACAGACACACACACATATACGCACACACTCTCACTCACACACATACACACACACATACGCACACACTCACACACACACACACATATATATATATATAAATCAACCTCCTCGTTTTATTTTTTTAACTTACCTATGTATCTGTCTTATAAAATTTTCAAAATTATTTCATTTAATTCTGTTAATATCCAAAATCTCTAATATATATAAATATATATATATATATATATATATATATTCTCTGTTTCTATCTATCTATCTATCTCAGTCACTTTATATCTATTTATCTATCTATCTATCTATCTAAATATCTATCTATCTATCTCAGTTAAAAATCTCTCTCTCTCTCTCTCTCCTTCCAATTCCTCTCTCTCTCTATATATATATATATATATTATATATATATATATATATTTCAATTTCTCTGTCGTTCTAATACCAGTGAAAAAAAAAAAAAAAAATTTCCACCTTGGATGTTCTCACTACTTATTTATAGCAGTTTCTTTGAATTTTTGTTCACACACACACACATGCATACATGCATACACACGCACGCACACACACACATATATATTTATATATGAGTATATTACGATAGACTGATAACCGTATATATTCTACATTGTATTTTATTTTATCGATCTATCTATCTATCTATCTATCTATCTATCTATCTATCTATCTATCTATCTATCTATCTGTCTGTCTATCTATCTATCTATGCGCTTCGCACTGCCCACCTCACCGGTCTCTTGAACAGGTGTCGTGTTTTATCTCCTGTTTCCTCGTTCGAACTGGGTTTCAGGTTCCTTTTCCTAAAGTTCTTTAATTATTCAACCACACCCAGTAAATAAAATACGTCTTAGTGGCATTATAGCCTTTAAAAATGAATTGATTAAGCAAAACTTCTATCTGATGTCATGACGTTTTTGCATCTCCGTATTATATAATCATTTAAAACTATCCATCCAAATATCATATCACATGTATGCCGTTGTATGATATATATATATATGTATGTATGTGTGTGTGTGTGTGTGTGTGTGTGTGTGTGTGTGTGTGTGTGTCTCAGGTTTTATTTAATTTAGTCTCTCTTAAATATTTCGTACATACATGCATATACATATATACACATATTATAAAAAGCATATAAAATATTAGCTGATATATTTTGTAAATATATATCCATATATATAAATTTATGCATATATATACAAGTAAATTATCTTCTTAAAAATTGCACTCCCAAGAACAGAACTCAAGGTCAAGTAGACTTGCATACATTAGGAGCCGACATCACATGAGAATCACGCCAGACGTTTTGAGCCCAACGCGCATGCGCGTGATCCATCCACACCTCCACGCGCGCACACATAAACACACACACACACACTAACGAAAAACAAAAAAACCAAAAACAAAAGAAAAAATACTGACACAAGCAAATCTTCATGTCTGTGAGTAGAATGGTGCCAGCTCATTCCCACGTACTGACAGCACCACAAAAGATAACCATTTTTGTAAGAGAAACAGATAGAGAAAGAGAAAGAGAGAGAGAGAGGAGGCCCAATTGCAAAGTGACCAAAGGAGGAGATAGAGAGAGAGAGGGAGAAAGAGAGAGAGATTTTATACTATTTTTTCTTTTTTTCTTGAAACAAAAGAGAAAAAAATCAACCCTCAGGAATGATAAAGTAGTTGTAATATTGGAAATTTCTGATTGAAAATTATTTTTGATGCATTTTGAGTCTAAACAAACATGTGTGCATCTTTTAAATGCACCGGCACGCATTTAGAGAAAGCATCAGATATTTGTTAGAAAGAATGGCCAGCCAACTCCACTCTTAACATCTATCTATCTATATCAGTCTGTTCATATCTATCAATCTATCTATCTATGTATCTATCTATCTATCTATCTATCTATTTGTTCTATCTATTTCAGTCTGTTCATATTATCTATCTATCTATCTTCTATCTATCTATTTTTTATCTATCTATCTATCTATAGATATTTAATTTTAAAATTCGATCCTTACGACTAGGGTTTCTGCATCTGATCAATTTATATTTGAAGAAAAAAATATGTTGACTTAAAAAATAAAAGCCTTGAAAAACATTTATATATATATATATATATATATATATATATATATATATATATGTTTATGTGGCATGTGTAAACATAAATATATTAATATATATAAGTTCAAGATATTTTCATATCGTGCTACCTGTGAAACAGATTTATTTATATATATATATTTATTTTATATATATATCTATATATCTATATATATCTATATATCTATCTATGTTTGGCATTCAAAGTTCTCTATCCATGTTTTCAAATATATAAATCATTTTTTTAAATCTACTTTTCATATCTAAAAAACTTTCTATCTCTTTATATATATATATATATATATATATATATATATATATATATATATATATATATATAAATATACATGTGGAAATCTCATATGCAGATATACTATAGACGGTCCATAAATATTGATTGACTGTTGACCTAGGTGCATTAATAAAAAAGTCTGCAGGCTAATGGAATATTTATAAAAAAAATTAAATAAAAAAATATATATATATATATATATATATATATATATATATATATATATATATATATATACCTGATTTTATTATTAAATTATATTTTTGATCCTTTTAGAAGCTTTGAGTTTTTTCAAGTTAAAAATTGGTTTTTTATTATAAGGCGTTACCTAAAAAAATTAGAAAAAGGAACATTTTCCGTATTTTTGCGGTGAAAAACACATTAGTTTGAAAATTCTTGAAAAAAAAATCAAATAATTATCAGATTTTAATGAAACTTTCAAGATTCATTCACAAATGAATTAAATTATTATAAAAAATTTACTCCTTTACGAAATATTGGGAAAAACATTTTCTCTTTACATCTGTTACCCTCTACCTATTTAATTTAATGAAATTTTGACAAAATTCTTTTTTCTACCGCTTAACGTTTATATTAGTTTCCCACAGAACTCCGTGGAGAATTTAAATCATTAAACTTTTTTCACAATGAATTTATGTGAAAATTGTTTTAATATTGTTAACGAAAATTAATTTTGAATATTAAAAAGAAAAAAAAATTTTAAACCCCAGACATTATTTAATTAAAACAGCTTTTAATTGCTTTTATAAATAAGATATATTACGGAAATTATTGTCTCAGGAAAAAAAAATATCAATGAATAATAAACTATTACAAGAATTATTTTCATTTTTAAAGAAATTTAATTAGAATTATATATCTTTTAATATTGCGTATTATTTTTTTACCGGCTATGTGATATAGTTATTAAGTAAAAACAATATTTGCTAATCATAAATGGAAAAGCTTACTACAATTCATCGACGGCCAATATTTGAAAAAGAATTTTGAATGTTGTTTGTTTGTATAAACGTGCCGATTTTTGTATATACAGATGTCCATAAACAACGTTATCAGTAAACAAGAACGGTGTCTATAGTAAATATAAAGCCAAGGTACCTAAAATTCAATAAAACAGATTATGGAGAACATTTTCCTAAATTTATAAAATTACTGGGTAAGTTAAAAATTATATACAAAATATACTCAATGTATATTCCTCAAGTAATTTTTGCAGTTATGTACAAAATTACAAAAACTTTTTAAGATAAAAATTCCGAAAAAAAAATACAATCTGTTATTAAAATCAAAATAATAGCCCTTGTGTTACTGTTGTAACCCAGGGAAGGTTACTGAATAGAATAATCAAACGAAGGTTGGTAATGAACGATAATACTTAGGACAAGAACAACACATATAAGATTCGCCAGCGGTGCGTAGAAGAAGTAGTCAACTGCTAGAAGTGAGTCAAGTGAATTCCACAATGAATCTCCAACTGCAGGATATCTACCAACCGCCCCACGCGGTCAGATGTGGCACAAGGCCGAATTTAATGTGGGGTATCCTAGCCCGTAGGCTCGGCCAAAAAACGGGGTCGGGGAGCTGTTTCCCGAGACGAGACTCTGCCCTTCGACATAGCCTCGTTTGGGGATCCTCTCTGTCCGGAAGCAGAGAGTTTGACCAGCACAGTTGGAGACGAATCTCCAACTGCAGGATATCTACCAACCGCCCCACGCGGTCAGATGTGGCACAAGGCCGAATTGATGTGGGGTATATAGGTATAGGTATCAAAATTTTCCCTGTAGAAAAAAAATATAAAACGGGGGTCGGGTAGTTGTTTCCCGAGATAAACTCTGCCCTTCGACATAGCCTCGTCTGGGGATCCCCTCTTTCGGAGGCAGAGAGTTTGACCAGGACAGCTGGAGACGAATCTCCAACTGCAGGATATTTACCAACCGCCCCACGCGGTCAGATGTCGCACAAAGCCGAATTTAATAAAAAATCCAAAAGTAACTTATCCAAGCCCCGATAGAAAAATAAAGAAATTGACAGGTATTATAATAGGGTCGGGGAAAATGTTCAGAAACAACGAGACTATTTTTGTACATCGGATCGTTTTTGGGGAATTTCATTATTTCAAAAAAGGAGATTGAATTAACACTATTACAGTTTTCATCATTTTAAATTCCAACTGCAGGATATATAATGAAAATTTAAGATGTGAACATTTCAAAAAGGTTTTTAAAAGACAAATAAATTTGAATAACTCAAATAAAAAATAAAAAAATTAAAATGTATAAAAAAAAGTTCACATCATTCCCAAAGATAAAATGAAATGAGAAATGTTTTCGATATAGCTTCAAAGGGATCCTCTTGAAAACGGAGGCAGAGAGTTTGATCAAAAAAGGTAATTAATGGTGGCCAATTTTCAACTGCAGACCAACATTACAGTATTCATTACTGTATTTATGTGAATGGGAGCATACCCATTATCGTCCGTTTTTATACATGAACAATGTATTAAAACAAAATGCATTTATGCAATATTTAAACTTTTTATAAAATTTCAAATATTATTAATTAGGATTTTACCTCAGCTATTTCTTTTTTCTATAAAAATTTTTCAATTACAATAAATATTTTATTGAATGATAGATATATAAATGTCACCTGAAGAAAAAATTTAAGGATGAAACAAACTGTCGCCCTGCTTATTTGACCTCAATGTTACTTTTATATTTACATATTTTTTTTCCTGTTATTTGAGCACTTTAATCCATATTTTATACATAACAAAAAAAAAGATCCTTAAGGTTTTAAAAGTTTATTTTAATTTTAAATTCAAGCAACTAGATTGAATTTCATATTTAAAATAAACAAAATTAAAAAAAATATTTTTTTTTATGTTTTGTAGAAAATATCTTTAAAATGTTTTTAAAAAAAAATGTTTTGATTTTGAAAATTTTTAACCATTTATCTGCACAGGAAGATTTTTTTATTAAAAAATCTTTCAAAAATTAAATATACTTTGCTGCAATTTTATTCGAAGAATATTAGCAGATTTAAAAATTTAATTAATCTGATTTGAAACAAATATCAATTACTGTTAGTTTAAAATATTGCAGAAATACATTTTAACATAGTGTTAGGTGTTTTGAACAGGTTTTGAAACATCATTTTTAATCACAGCTAAAAAAATTTTTTAATAATTTTTTTATATAGGACAAAAATTTTTGAAATATTAGCTGATGAATATAACAATTTTTTTAAAATTTTTTTATTAAAATTTTTTTAAAAAAACCATATTTTTGAAAAGATTTGAAGAAATATTTCCCTAATCAAAATTTAAAAAAAATTTTTTTTTTTGATTTTTCTTTTCAAATGATAATTTTATTTTTTTCAAAAAATAAGCAAGTTTATGAAACAAAAAAAAATTAAAAATTTTTAAAAAATACTGGTAATGAAATTTGAAGAAATTTTTCCATTTATTTTAGCAAATTTAGTTTTTTTTTAATGCCAATAACATATATATTGTTACATAATATTAATTTAAATTTTAAACTTTATTATTCATATTTTAAAATTTTAGTGTTGAAAACAATATATAAAGCAATTTTTCATAGAATTTTTTTTATTGATTCTTATATATATTTATATTTTAAATTGGGTATTGGGATTCAAATAAAATTTGATGAATAAAAATGTTCCAAGGAGATATATTTAATACTGAACTTAAACATTAAAGATACAGAAAAAATTAAATTTCAATACATTATCTAAATTTATTAAATTTATATAATTGATGTCAAACAAAAAATTTACTGTTATTTTTTAAAAAATATATCTTTTATTTCTAAATTTAGAATATCATTTTTGAATATTTTTAAAAAATAGAAATTAAAATATCATTTATTTGATTTTTGAATAATTAAAAATCAATATTATATTTGATAAAAGAAAAAAAAACCCCAAAAAATATAAAATGTTAATTATATTTCTTTGATATTTTTAGAAAATATATATTCAAAAATGTTCAAATCAAAAAAATTCAAAATTAAATTTTTTTTTTCTAAAAATAAAAATATATAAAATTAAATAATATTATTCAAAATTTTTATTTTTTTTTTAATCCCAAAATTTTAAATAAATACATCCGATTTTATTAATTTAACTTTTTTTAAATTTATTCATTAACATTTGTTAACGAGGATTCTTTTTATGATTTAAAAAACACAAACACAATAAAAATTAACACACACACACACACACAATATATATATATAAATATATATATATATATATATAAAATACAATACTAAAATTCCATGAAAGTTTTCAATTTAAATTTGGATTCCAGATATATTTTGAAAACCATTACAAAAATCAAACCAAGAAAAAAAAATTATGTTTTTTAAAACAAATAAAATTTTAATAAAAATTATGTTTGAATTTTCATGAAAAGATATTTACAAATATATAAAATTTCAGTTTTACAATAATGAACCATCCTCTTGGATTTATTTTTTATACAAAAATATATGTATGTGTATTCAGATAAATATATTATATATATTTATATAATTTATTTACAAATA